AGTTTGTTCTTTCATCTAACCTGATGATCTACTTCCCAGCTCTTTTTAAACATATAATCTACTTTGTGGATGGGCCCGGGACATTTGCTCCAGATGCTGTGTGTTAATCTGCTTCTGTGTACAATGCTAAAATCTGGGGTTTGATTCCCCCACAATGGACATAGCAGATAGCCTAATGTAACTTTGCTCTAAAAGAAACAAACAAAGAATGCAACTGATAATGAGGTTATGATTAGGGGTGATTTTAATTTTAGGCATATAGATTGGGAAATGTTAGAGTCTAATCATGAGAGAGAGACAGGTTATTAAGAATATTCAGGATGGTTTTATTCAATAATTGGTTAGGGAACGTAATATGAACAATGCTATTTTAGATTTATTGCTAAGTTTAATACATAAATAGTTGATAGGGCAGAGAATGGGAAATATCTGGATGCAAGTGATCATTGTTTTTCTGTTTTTGAAGATAAGGAATAATCAGATTTTGGTTTCAGATTTACAAAAAACAAATTTTGAAGGGATGCGAGAAGAATTATTTGTTATGAATTGGATAGCTGAGTTATTTAGAGACACTGATCAAATGGGAAAGTTTTTTTAAAATAGATTCTTAAATATTCAAGATAGCCATATGTTCCTTATAGACAAAAAGGGTGGCTGCAAGTAAAAAAAAAACCAAGTTTGCTCACAAAGAGTATAAAGAATAATATTAAAGAAAAGCATTATAAGTATAAGAAGTTTAAATTGATTGTAGTGATTGAAGATTTTGAGGGTAATAAAAAATCATGAGCATTTTTCACAGGAAATTAGGAAATCAAAAGTATATAAAAAGTTTGGATGAAACGTAAAAATTAATAGTAAGAATTTCTTCAAAGGTAAGCAAAATGTTAGGATGGAAGTAGGGCCTTTGAGGGATGATACAAGAATTATGATTATTGGATGGCTGGATTACTAAATTATACTTTTTATTCAGTTTTTACTAATAAAGATTTAAGCAATTTTCTTTATCTTAAGCAGTTGCGCTTAGATAGAAACAAGATTTAACAAGATGACCACATGAGTCTTGAGCTTGTTAAGAAAAACTGGGAAGTTAAGTAATAGTAGTATCCTCGTACACGATATATTCTTAACGGTTTTAGGTAGGTAGGTTAAGGTAGTTAGGTAGTATGTCAGACGACTTAGGTTACGTACT